CCATTTCTTCAATTTAAACATGCGCCATAAAACGTCTTATTAAGAAGAAGCAACTAATGTGTTTTCGTTTATTAGTAATAAAAAATCTTTTAGTAAATTGTTGCATTCGTTCTTGAACATAACGCCCGCTTGGCCGTATAACTCACTTGCACTGACCGCCTTCCTGTATCTTTCACAAATTTTGTTTAAAAAAGATTAAAAAAAAAAAAAACAAAAAAAAAAAAAAACTACACCCTAACAAGTGCATCTGCCAACGGTTCGCCCACGATTCGAAACCAACTTCATTCAAACGGCAGCGCGTGCTGTTGACACCGGGATAGTTCTACGAAAACACCATCTGCTAAAACGACGAACGTTTAAACAGCTGCATCCGTCCGGGTTTTTTTTTTACAATCACCTTTCTAGGTTCTGTTTAAACTTTAGAGAGTCAGTAAAGACGATCTGGAAGTTCAGTGTATCGATCCAAACAAATGTCATATGTATTACAGGTAACGTAGACCTCAATGCTAGAGATGCCTTGAGGTCTACCCACTATTTTTGTTTTGGTTAAATCAACCAATAAGAGCTCGGCGTTCTGACATGATCGAGACCCCTGTGCAAGAAGCAGACGAACTTGCGTTCCGTATAGCCACTTTTTAGTATTCGGAGAGACTCCTCTTTTCTCATACGTATAGGCTCTTCTCTTGGTGCGTCTTACGGCCGTCCTTTCAAAATGAGACTATGTCGTTATGTCTGATTCGACAAATGAGATCACGCCGCAACATGTTCGAAAAGTATTTTTTTATATTTGCGTACAGACAGAAAACTTGGTTGATAAATGTCACCCAGCCGTTCGAAATGCACTTCAACAACGATTCAGGCCCTTTTCGGGCAGTCGTTCTGAACCCCAACCCGAAGCTCGCGAGGTTTCACAGAATTTCGGTACTCCTGTTCGTTGTACGCGACGATGACCTCAAAGAACGAGCTTAATTAGCACAGGTGATATGTTCTTACAGGGTGTCCTCAAGCGCTATCAAGTCGTAAAAAAGCAAAGCACAAAACGTTTATATAAGCTAATGGACAAAGTTGGATGACATTTTGATAGGGGTGACTGCAGGTGATGCATTTATCGTACTCGAATTCCGGGAGCGTAGGTTTTCAGGAAAACCTTAGATAAGAAACAAAAACAAAAAAAGTGTTGATTGTATGCAAAAAAAAAAAAAAAAAAAACACGTTTGATGGGCGTTGCTATTTACACATGTTACAACACACGCTTGGACTTAAGGGATTTTGCTCTTCATCTCGAATAAGCTCTCATGTTTTTGTCCTATGTGGTGCCATCTGGGAGTCGCAGCGTCCACTAGACCGGTTGTTGCCGTTCTTCTTTCTGTATCAAAGAATAGTACGTTATTCGTTTCTTGCATCTTATTTTTTTCTTATTTTTTTTTTCGGAAAGATATATAGGAAATTTAACTACTAGGATAAACGCACCACTTAAAGACAACTTTGTGAAATAAAAGTTTAACATAACTACTGTCTATTGGCTTGTTTTTGCGGATTTTTTTCTTATTTTTTGCCGTTGAATAACGCTCGAGAAGAACCTATAGAAGAGGCATTCAATATAATAATATTCAGATGTATAATTTGTCCGTCCGTCCGTGTTTGTCAGGCAGGCCGCTGAGCATCGTGGCTCAATCTTAATCCGGCGTGGACGTCGAGAGAACGTGTGCACGGTTCAAAATAGTTAACACGAAAGAGAGCAGCCAGCTGACCGACGAAAATCGGACAATGTTCACGTGTCTCCATCACAATAAGGTGGAGGCAAATGGGCGATTGTATGGCACAGGATTGCTTTATTACTTTACGAAAGTGTGTATACAGCGAATAAATTGAGGCTATCCCAGCGGTTGCAAACGGTTTTTCAAGTCTTTTCTTTTTTTTTTATTCCAGCAAAACAGCTTTGTACACACACAAAAAAAAAAACAAAAAAAAAACGCGCAAAACTTTAAAAATCGGCAAATTACCTTCCCAAAAATACTTGTAAATACCGGAAAGTGCCGGATATGCCAACAAATATAAATACCAAAAACAAAGCCACCAAATCTGAAAAAAAAAAAGGTATGAAAAACGAAACCACACGGAATTTTAAGAACTTCTAACCACTACACTCTGTTCCACTTTTCCCTCGACCGCAGCGAAGGCTGCGCTCCGATGAGCCAATCAGGCAACACCAACAGTCTACCGTCGGAGGCGTGCGGTTTAGAGAAGCTCGTATTAGCGAACGCCGTTTTACCGACCCCGGTTTATCGAATGCCTTTCTAGAGAACCAAGTTTAGAGAAAATGGCGCTCCTTTAGCGAATTCGGCCGCCGCGAAGCGGCGCGTACGGGTAAATCAGGTGAGTTAACAATTTTGTAATGAGCCGCCGCAGACTGCCGCCGCCAAGCGGCGGGAGCGCAGCGGAGGGCATGGCTTAACACGCGCGCCAGTGATACACGCAAAAAGTAGGAAAGCCTTTTTTTAAAAAGCGTCCCCTTTTCGATAAACGGCGTGTCTCTAAACTGAGGCTCTGCTTTCTCTAAACCGTGCTTCGATAAAACGTGCCCATTCTCTAACACGTGCTTCGATGAAATGGCATTCGATCAACCGTAGTTAACCCGTCTACCGTCACGGCGATATACGTTGTCTGTGGCTTTTTCATAACCGACCAACCACGCGCAACAAAAAGCGCAGGCTTGCGGCGAATTCAGTATAAACAAGGACCCTTCTGGTCGCTCCGTGCACCAGGTCGCTGTAGCAATATATACACGAACTCATCTCTGTTACGTCACGGCGCGGTGGTGGCGCGTCGGGCGCACTTTCGGCATGGGGCTGTGGGCGGAAGTCCCCATTCGAGACGTGTATTTCTGCGTTGTTTTGAAAGGAACCAAACAAAACCCTGCCTTTTCGTCAAAACGCCGCGACTGGGGCTGTACCAAAAGAGTCGGGAAAGGTTTGAAGGTCAGTTTTTATGTGCTCGGTTCGTCCGAGAACGTGGAAATGTGCCGTGAAAAGGGAAAACCAGACGCCATCGGACCACGATTGCTTGGGCGGGAAGCACTTTGGGTTAAATTCACGGATACTTGTGATCATCAGATTTATTGGTTTTGTTCCAACATGAACGCCGGAAAACCGTCAAGTTGTACGGACCACCTCCGGACTACGTTCAGTGCGCCTTCAAGGTTCAAACGGCCACTTGATCGTTCGAACTATCGTCTGCTCTTTCAAACGTTTCTACTTGTCGCCTGCTCTTTTAGAAGACACCTGCCTGTATACCAAATGTTGGCCCGGTACTTGCGATAAGAAGTAAGTGCAGACCTCAAAAGAATTAAGATTGAAGGTTGGTAAACAGGCTCAATGTAAACAGTAAATACAAGGAGATGTTGATCATTGTTACCAGTGGCCATCACCGACAATTGTTATGCCTGATTAACTTGGTCCGATTCTGCTTGCGATTTTCAGTATCGACGTCGACCATCGCAGCTACGGTTCACGCTTTTGCAGCCCAAGTGACGTCGCGACTGAAAATTGCGAGCGAAATCTCATCGTGCGAACCGCGCTTTCGCTTTCGCCGCCGTGTAATTGGCTCCGTGAGGACGCATACCGTCGGCTGCGTTCAAACTTGGGGTGAAACAAAGCGTAGAACGGCTCAGCTCATTGACATCACGACACTGCGGTGGCGCTGCTGTCAGTACTGCGCATGCGCAGACGCTCCACTCCTCCCGAATGTGGTTTCTGCGCACGCGCAGTACCCACACCTGGTGCGGGCAAAGCGGGCCGGTTTGTAAAGCTTGTGTTGGTGTACAGCTATGTATATGCCGTACGGCTGTCACCTGAAGCGCGTAGGTCACTGTAAGCGAGGTGACTTGGAAGGTTGCTCGGTATAACGATAGAGCTGTACACAAAAATATGTCGTATTTTGACCACACCGGGCCACAACTGGCAGCTCTAACGTGAGCTGCCCTGCCCAAGTCTTTTTTCTCTTCTTGTTTACGTTTTTGTTTAGAAAATGCCGTCATTCAGAAATATTGCAGCACGATTTTTTAAAGATATTTTTTGGTTGCAATAATTGACGTTTTCGAAGCGACCATGCATTTTTCCCAAGAAGCAATAGCTGCAGGCATCGCCCTCCGAGGTGTCTCTATTTACGTGAAGTGATTCCACATCCTTGCGTGACCACGTACACCTGCGGTGCTCGTTGCTACGACTACCTGAAGCAGACACTTTAATTACTTAAAGAGCGGGTTCCAGCTTAAGGCGGTGCTTGGTTTCACAAAAGATCTCAGACGAGGCTTGTTGGAGAAACTCCTATATTTGTGAAATTTTCCTTGTATTTATTTAATCATGAAGGCTGAGTGGCCTTAACATTCGGCAATGCCGCTGTATTTGTCTTTTTAAAATCCCTTTGCTAGGACTACGCCAATAGTGGATGTAAACAAATAGTGCCGTGTCACTCATAACCTTCACTGTGCAAAAACAAAAAAGACAGTTTTGTTCGGAGTTTTGAAGCTGGGAATGACGCTGCGCCATTCAATTTAGCGACGTTCGCACACCTAGTTTTTTCACGTTTGACATAGTGTCAGAACCTCAATGCATGACAGGCTCTCGTAGAATAAATAGGTACACGTGCGGAGAATGTGAGGTGCAGGACCCAATCCAGACTTTTTCTGCGTCTGCAATCCCCGCAAATCGCCATTTGGGATCTCGTGGTCGTTCCCATAACTCCGACAACGATACGATACATGCACAAAAGCGTCAGCGGAGTATCCAGTATTGGTACCGGAGGCATCGGAACAATCTTCCCTAGGTCTCCGTATTCGTCACAAAAACGAGGATGCGACTTAAGCGTCGCCTTCCATCAAACAGTTTGGAGAACGTTTTATCTTTTAGGAAGTGGGAGAAACGACAAAAAAGGACAAACAACTGTCGCAGGTCACACAGCCGTTTTTTTTTTACGCCACAATAAAATGAATAACGTAAATATACGGTAAAACAGCTGGCTTTATTAACCAGACTTCTTAGCACCTGAAGTGCCAGGAGTTTCAGAGAAGAAGAAATTCGCGGCAAGCGGCTGCGGCAAGGAATTGTTCTGGAGGAACATCTCGAAGTTGAAGCTCTTTCTATCACCGTACGACACGTCGGATTTGGAAATGTTTCTTCCATTCTGAGCGACGACCAGGAACACATAACGGTGCGGCCCCGATCCTTGGGGTGGCGCCGGTCCGATGTACTGGACAGCCTCCTCACCTTCGCCGAACCCGTCACTGCTCGGTGCGTTCACCACCACCCAGTGCAGATAGCTCCTGTAGGTCGGTTCAGACGCACTAGGTGCATCTGGATCCACCATCACGAGCGTGTAAGGAGGGAGAGCGTCTTGCGCTTCGAAACTAACGGTGGGTTTGTTGCTCGTGATTTGAGGAGAGATCGTGTTCCCCATGCACACCGCCGTACCATCACCGTAATTGACGTTCGCCACTCCCTGGGGCACCTGGCTGATTACGTCTGGCACAACTCTGTACTTCACGAGCGGATTCGTAGCACTTGGATCGACGGAGCAGGCGTGTCCGCGGGAGCCATTGGAGCTGTCTTGGCTCGCGAGGCAGGCGGAGCAGAGGAGAGCTAGGTACGCGAACAACGCTCTCATGGCGGCTTCCACAACGGTTGGCGGGCGGCTTCAAAGTGCGTGTGCCGTGTTCCCGACCGACGTGCGTAGCGTTCTGTAAAAACGAGATAATCAAGACCAGCGCGTACCGCTTTTATCCGTTGCCTCCTGCCACGTCCGCGCGGAGCGAGCGGGGCGGAGTTGTTGCCTTTCCTTCCGGCGCCGCCGGCAGCTGCGACGACTGCTTTTTCATTCGGGCACCGGTAGGGCAAATTCACGAGGGAACGCTCAATAGGCGCTGAATAGGCCCCCTTTTAAAAGTGTGCGTCGTCAAGTAGCTCCGCCATTGTTCGGGCACGCACTCTGAACACGTGTTGGACACTCGGCGAGGACTCGGAACCATTCACACCCTTCGTGCTCCCAAAAAATGGCGATCGCCAATGTTGCTTGACGGGGTTTTGAAAAGGGCTTATTGCGATTTAGAAGCTCTAGTCGTTGACAGCTCTTCAGAGACGCCGGACGTGAATGATTCTTGATTCGTTCTTCGGCGATCTTGTCGACTAATGCTGAAATCCATCGAGCAACAGTGCGGTCGCCATTGCCGCGACGCGTGATTGGATCCGAGTCCTCGCCGAACTGTGAAGCAGCACTCGTGTCCAATACGATCTGAGCCGAGTTCACGCCGAACTCTGACGCAATTCTCGTGTCCAATGCATGCTCTACGTGACCAAGCAATGGCGGGCAGGTTAGGGTGCGGACTTTTGGAAAGGGTCTATCGCCATCAATTCTGAAAATTTTAAAACTAAATTTTGAAACAAAAAGAAGCAATTCTTTTTTCTTTTTGGAAAAAGCTCTAAAGTTTAGGAAATAAAAAAAAAAAAAAAAAAGGAAAGCACATCCCGCGCGGTGTATCAGCCACGGAAAAGTGGACTCATCCTTCATAAATCGAACCCGCTTTAACATCTGTAATTTCCCTTCCTCCTTCCTTTTTTCTACATTCTCCTGGACTGCTGGCAAATGGCATAGTGAATCCCCTATTCGTTCTTAACAGAGCTTTAGAGTCGCAAATAAGAGCAAAAAAATATTTTAAAAGAAATGCCTGGTTTATACCTCCCACCCACCCGCTCCAGAAAGAAAGAGAAGAAATATATAAGCTTTTTTTTTAAAGAAAACGCGACCGTCGTTTAAGTGGATTTCTCCCAGATGTGCGTTTTTCATTACCTTTTCTTAATACCAAAGTTCATAGGGTAAAATTGGATATCAGTTCAGTCTGGAATTTATTTAAGACAACCATTTTATCTTTAATTCAGACGTTCGTCCCATACCGTATTTCATCGGCCAATCGCCGAAATGACAAACCTTGGATAAATCGGGAACTTCGAGCTTTGATAAACAAAAACAATCGCTTCTTTCGTCAATGCTGGGAATAAAGGGAACCTACGGTATATATCAAGATGAAATAACTAAGTAAGATTATAACAAAAAAAAAAAAAAGATGCGCAAGTGACAATTTATGTATCAAGGAACATTATCTGAAAAACTAAAACGTAACCCTAAAGGAGTGTGGAAATATGTGAAAAACAAGAAAAACCTGGGTGTCACTTTTCCTGACGTAATGCATGGTGTTCATTATTGATTCAACTTAGAAGGCAAAGCCATAAGCTTCAATTTATATTTTCAAATGATATTCACAAAGACAGTCACTATAGTATAGTGGTTTCCAAAATAACGATGGGTTTTTTGCACACCAAAAACATTGATATACCAGAACAAGGCATCCCTTTGTTGATACAGCAAGTCAAGATAAATTCAGTGCCTGGACCAGATCGCATTTCAAAGTAAACCTTGAAAAACTGTGCCGCTTCCGTTATGCGTGACCGTGTTGTTTAAAAATTCCCTTGTGCAGGCTGAGTTACCCCTTGACTGGAAAAATGTAAATGTAGTCATTATACGCAAAAGCGGCGTCAAAAGCAATACACCTAAGTATAGGCCTATCTCATTGACAAGTGTTTTCTGTAAAACGTTAGAGCACGTTATTTACTGTAACATAATCAGTCATCTACAGGCAAACAATTTTTAACCCTACGCAACATGGATTTACGATGGGATTTTCGTACGATGCACAATTGAGAATTCATGCATGACATTGCTACTTCGATAAACAGTGGCCATCATGTTGATTGTGTCTTTTTGGACTACTGTAAAGCTTTTGATTCTGTATCACACACCCTGGTATTGCAAAAGTTATCTACCGTTGTATCTAAAAGTGGATTGCAGCCAAGTTAGTTGAAAGAAAGCAAAACGTGGTTCTGGATGGAGTCGATTCGTCAGATTTACCGCGTCATCGGGTGTGCCGTAAGGGTCCCATTTAGGTACCCTTCTTTTTTTGATGTTCATAAATCATCTCGCTGCGAATGTTGCTAGCCATGTAAAACTATATGCCGATGATTGCTGTGTTTGCCGTGACGTCTCATGTGAAGCGGATCCCGAGCTTTTACAGAATGACCTTGGTTTAATTTCATCTTGGTGTCAAACATGGAAAATGTCTCTCAACTTCAACAAGGGCAATCCAGTAAAGTTTACTAACAAATAGCGACCTCTGAACATAGAATTTTTTCTAGGTAGCCGTAGTACAAGTTTGTCGGTTGTAACAAAACATAAGTTTTTAGGGGTTTTGTTTTCCAGCGAGTTATCTTGGAATATCTTCAAAGGCTAACGGCACATTAAATTTTCGCTAACGCAACTTGAGGCAGGTACCCGTAAAACTTCGAGAAACGTTGTATATGACAAATGTACGTACGATTTTAGAATATGCTTGCAACGCGTGGGACCACCAGGTCAAGTGTGGATGAGCCAAAGCGCTTAGCAAAACGAGCAGCGCGGTTTGTGTCGGGTAGCTATGATTTTCCTAAAAGCTCGTCTCGTATTTGTAAGGAGTTAGGGTAGTCAAGGCTTGCTGACCGGCGGAAGGATCCGAGATTGTCATTTGTTTTACAACATATTCAGTGGTCGAAATGGCATTCATAAGGTAGAATGCATAAAAGATCCTACTTATGTGTTACCCTGCACCGATGAACATTTAAAAGTCCGCGACTACGGGAGCAGACTAAATATATATAGATACGCATTTTTTTCCGAGAACTATAAACAAATGCAATAATGCACCAGTTGAAATTATCTCCTCACCAGTTTCGTTTTTTTTTTTTTTTTCAGATTTGCAGAGTTTTTTGTTTGGCTCAGTGTCAATTTGTGGACTTAATTGCTGGTGTGTTTGCCAATTTGTTTGTTTTATTTTGCTGAAAATTTTCTACTATGTCATTATTTTCATATATGATGTTATTGAAAGTTTTTCTGAATCATAGGAATATTTTAGATGTATAACTTTATCTTTTATATATGTATTTTTTTTTTTGTATTGCCTTCCCCCTAAAATACTTCTCTGCGAAGGGCAATGTAGGTAACTGATAAATAAATAAATTATTCAACCAGCTATTTAAGCTCAAAGGCTTCCCTTTGTTTTTGTTAGGGCAGATATACACGCCGTAAAAACTGCCAACTTTTATTTGGATACAAAATAATTTTTTCGTTCTTTCGAGAGAGTGAAACTAAATAGGCTACATTGAACTGGGCCTTTTATGATATCACGAAAACCGTATTTCCGACTGCTTTATTTCCAAAGTCCCTTAATGCTTTTCAGCATAGATATACGTTGACGTTGATTGTTGTCTCTTGTTTATAGGGCTGCCTGGATACAAACAAGTTAGATCTCTCCTACATGTTTATCAACGTTGCACAGCCCCCGGCAAAACCTGAAGCGTCACTGGTGTCATCTTTTTTTTTCCTTGCTAGCGTCACGCAGCTAAACAAGGTCGCGTTCGCAGTATAAGCTATTTTTCCGGTCGTAAAAAAAAAGAAAAAAAAAAAGAAGTGCACATGTGTACAGGACCTCAGCAGTATACAGGTTGTCATTTCCGTTTGCGGTTATAACCTGCACGACACAATACACACGTACAATATATAATCGTCTCTCCCAATCGCTTTTCTAAAATGGAGATATTATAGGACATAAAACACATAGAGCCTTTTTTTCCCATGACGCATGCATTGAAAGTGTCTTAGACGGCCAAAAATGCTGATTGTTTGTTACCAAGGGACGACGCAATATGTTGGTGCAAAGCTTCGAACCTAAACTCCACGGGAGGCCAGTGAAAAAAAAGAAAAATAAAACATTCGAGGAAAGTGCGTGGAAGTTAACCATATTACTTTCTGTAAGAAGTGAACTTCAATAAAATATATGAGCACGCTACCCTTGAATGTATTCTCCCAGAGTATACAAGACACATTCGCCTGGTCAGTTTATACGGTGGTACTAAGCATCTTATGACCAGAGGCACTTTATTTTTAGGGAAATAAGGGAAGGAAGGTTCATTTAATTCTTCACCACAATCACTGCAGGACTGGCCGAAGTGAATCCTGTCCAGCCGCCTTAAACTCCCTTGTCAGATGGGGTCTTTCATATTATTGAGACAGTATTTGTAGTAATGTACAAGTGCCAGTCTAGAAGTTTACCAAAGTATCTAACTGAACCGGAATAAACAAAAATATGGAAATAAACCACTATATTTTCCTGCGAACCGCAACCGAACCCAACCGTTATATTTTTCATCCCAGAGCGAGAGCCAACAAATAATATTTTCGGTGTTTGGTTCCACAAGACAAATGTGGCACGTCGAATGTATACACATTCTGAAAAGCAGTGTAACGGATATTTTACAGCAAAGTTCTGTATGGCTAGGGTTCTGTGGATTTTTGGTGTGCGCGTTCAAAAACTTTACGCTCGCACCGCACCCACGCGCCGCACGTGCCGGCGTTTGCAGCAGTTCTAAAGCAAAAGCCTAAAACAAAAGACACCTTGCACGCGCGTTCGTCAACGTTTTATTCTGGTTATTTACTTCGAATCTTTTATACCGGCAAGAAAACGTGCGCGTGCAGCGTGTGAGACACCATTCCCTGCATTCTCCTTGAAGCTTGGGTTGCCGTTCTCCATTTTCGATTTCACTTCTCTTTTTTGTCATAAAGTGAGGCAGCGTATAGTCCGGACTAAAGCCCCTTGATAA